TGGGCAGCCACTTTTTTAAGCCTAACCTCACATGTCGGAGGAGGATGGGGTCTGCTGGTTTCCTAAGCTAAAAAATGAAATTAAGATGCACCAGTGTAATATGCTGCATTACACTCTTCCGGATAAAAAGCATTTACGGGTGGAGGCAAGACATCACTACTTTCTGTAAAATGTAGATGAATGTCTAAATGCCTTTTTAGTGTTTTTTTAGGCATAATAAAAAATTTAAGTTTGTTTACAAAAACTTATTAGGTTATGTTCATGATGTTCATTAGGTCGCAAATGCTACTTAATGGGTTGTATTTACGGACATAAATAAAGATACTTAAATTAGGTTATAAATATGACCATAAAATACAACAAAATATAATTGGACGTTACTTTAGGGATTATCAGTGAGACCTATCCTATTCGGACAACGGGTAGACGTCGGGCTAGTTCGAGTATATGTACGTCATGCAAGCCAACGTGGGAACGACGTTGGGAAATTGATAAAAATGGTACGTTGTTATTTTCAACGTCGACAGATCGTTGGATTTACCGACTCGGATCCAATGACGTCGCTTTTAATAGGAAAGCGACGTCACAGGTCGTATCACGAGCACCCGACCTAAATTTGCAGAAAGTCTGACGTCGCTTCAGGTCAGATTTAGTTCGAAGTCAGATAGATGCTACTTGGGTACAATGCGTTTCTTTTACATGGAACATAGGCTTTTACGTAATAAATATTTATATTTTTATAAATACACATTAGAAATAATTTTAGTTGAATAATCATAATGAATTTTGGAACAGATAAATTTTAAAACTAAAAGTATAAGCAGAGTTCAGGTAAAATTTAAGAAACATTCAAAAATGAAAATATATTCAATAATTTATATTATTGTATATATTGTTTTATGTAACTAAAGAAGATTAACATTACAACGAAGCGAGCTAGATATTTGCGTATTTATAACATATGTTTATCTGCAATAATATTTTAACGAATTACTAAATAATGTACTATAAATCTTAGTGATCCTCATTCACTGACAACCAGTGTCCCAATCATTCAGGAATGTGCCCTATAGTTAGATAAATTTTATATCAAGATTCCAAACAAAACATCAATTATTAAATTCTTAACTGTTATGAAGATAGGTATACATAAAGGTTAAAAGTATCATCATCATGTAGCCATCGTTGTCCACTGCTGAACGTAGGCCTCCTCCATATTTCTCCATGTTTCTCGATTTTGGGCCGTCATCATCCAATTTCCAGCAATCCTCTTTACATCATCGGTCCAGCGTGTCGGTGGTCTGCCTCTGCTACGTTTATCTGCTCGAGGTCGCCATTCTAACAATCTTCTAGTCCACCTATCTTTAGATGTTCTCGCCACATGACCTGCCCATCTCCATTTCATTCGAGTTACGTGTTCCACTATGTCTTTAATTTTGGTTTTTTGTCTGATAGTGTTATCAGGAATTTTGTCTCTTTTAGTTATTCCAAGCATGGCTCTCTCCATGGCTCTCTGGGCTACTCTTAAATTTTCTGCTGACTTTTTCGTTAATGTTAGAGTTTCTGCTCCATATGTAATTACCGGCAAGACGCATTGTTCATAAACTTTCCTCTTCAAGCATATGGGTATATCACTTTTAAAGGTCTCCCGCAGTTTGCCAAAAGCAGCCCAACCCAAACCTATTCTGCGCTGTATCTCGTGTGTTTGGTTGTTTTTTCCGATTTGTATTTCGTGCCCGAGATATTTGTATATATGTGTTTCTTTTATGTCTGCGTCACCTATTCTGATGTTCTGTGTGAGCACTAAGTTTGTCATTATTTGCGTTTTACTCGTATTTATCCGGAGACCGACTTTTAATAAGGCCTGCACTAATTCTTCGAGCATCTGCTTTGAATCTCCGATGTTATGTGAGACAAGGACGATGTTATCTGCGAATAGATGTGTCAACCTTTCACCATCGATATTTATGCCCCTATTCTCCCAAGAGAGTGATTTCATTGCGTATTCAAGGACAGCTGTAAAAACTTTAGGCGAAATAGTATCCCCTTGTCGAACTCCTCTGCCTACCTCAATTTTATCTGTTGTTTCGTGAAGTTTTACAGTTGGTGGCATTACTATATATGTATTCTATAAGCCTTGTATACCTATAATCTACTCTTCCCTGCTCCAATGCTGCTATTATTGATGTTAATTCTACTGTGTCAAATGCTTTCTAGAAATCAACGAACCCCAATGCTAGGGGCCTGTTGTATTCCACAGATTTTTCTATCAGGACTTTAATTACTTGAAGATGATCGTTTGTTCCATAACCTTTCCTAAAGCCTGCCTGTTCTCTTGGTTGATAGAAATCTAGTTTACGTTAGAGACGTTTGGCAATGATTTTGGTAAACAGCTTATACAAGTGACAAAGAAGGCTTATCGGTCTATAATTTTCAAGCTCGGTGATATCGCCCTTTTTATGGAGAAGTATCGTTATGGCGTTGTTCTATTGAGACGGGATTATTCCTTTTTCAAGGCATAGATTAAATAAGTCTTTAATCCATTTTAATAGTGTTCTTCCTCCGAGTTTTACAGCCTCAATCACTATGCCGTCCTCGCCCGGGGCTTTCTTATTTTTCATTTCTTTTAAAGACTTTCTGATATCTTCTGTAGTTATTTCCGGTATATCCTCTGATCCCTGGTTAACTATCTTTTTGCACAGACGTTGTTGACTGTTGTATGTTTGTTGGTGATTACTTGTGTATAGTTCAGTGTAAAAGTTTTCTGTTATTTTCAACAGCCTTTCTCTATTTGTTGTTACGACCCCTTGGTTGTCTTTTAGTTTAAAGATCTCTCTCTTTCCATTTGATAGTTTTCCTCGCAACACCTTCATACTTTTACTCTCTTCTATAGTTCGCCTTATATTATCTGTATTAAATTTTCTTACGTCCTTTCTGATTTCTTTAGATATTGTTTTGTTCAATTGTCAAAGTTAAAAGTATAAAGGGTAGTAAAACCATGTAAAACATTATGTAAGGCATTAAAAAACCTTACTAATACTAGTTACAATTAAGTGTATTAAGGATGATAAGGTTTTCTTATAGAGTAAAGATATTCTCTTATATACGTGTTCACTTTGCACTAAATAGTAAAATTTCTATTTTGTGAAAGATAATACAAGTTAATTATGAATAATGGAATAAATTAGTGACGAGCAACATCAATGCTTTCTAATTTTTCGCCTTATCAATTTATGCAACCAAGCAGTAAATTATGTCAGATAATCTTATTAAAGCCAAAATATATGTTATCTTATTTTTTTAGTTTCATTGTTAAATTTATAATAATAAAATTATACGAAGAAATTAATTTAACGTATATTATTTATTAATTGTATTTTACCAATAATATTTTTTTTGCTTTTGACAAGTTCTCATTTTTCTGATATTTAATAATATAAAGGATATCACTGTTAGATAGACGTAAATATAGCCAGACAAGTCAAGCATCAAAAGAAATTATGTTATAAATGTTATAATACTATAAAGCATTATTAGTTATATAAAACATAAAAAAATGAATACACCAGCTCTGTCATAGCAACTGTATTATTTATACATAGTTTACTATGTTTATTAACTATTAAATTAACGAATTAAATATTGATTAAAGAGTAACTATAATTGCCAGTAATATTTTCTATTAAGTGTCTGAAAAAAAACTGTACCAAGAAAATAATTTTATATTTATTTTTATGCTAAGAAAAAGGCTAGACAGAAATGGAATGGGAAGAACTTATTAAAGTAAAGATTGAAATACTAAACTTAGCAAACGAAAGCAGCAAGAAAAATAGAAGAAAAAAAAGAAATCAAATAGTTCTAGACTATTTTTTCTTAATACAACCAATGCAATAAAAATACAGGGTCGCTGATATGGATGGGAACGGTCGATTGTTAGGTAAAATATACAAAGTACCGCAAAAAGTTAAATATAAAAAATATAAAGTTTTTAAATGTCTATTAGCGAGTAATAACTTTAAGTATACAGGGTTGGTCATAAAGTCGTGGCACATCAAAGTTTAACTTGTTTAAATGGAACCCCCTGTATATTATTGCATATTACATTTATTACATTTAACAAAAAAATTTGATGTGCCACAACTATATGACCGACGATAAACTTTTTGCACGTACCTGTGTATATTTTACCTAATAATCGACCGTTCCCATACACATCAGCGACCCTGTATATTGTGTGTAATTTTAAATTAATCTAAATATGATTTGTTTAGTTTAACAACTGTAATAAATAATTATTAATTGATAATTAATATTAAAAATTGTATTATAAGTTAATGAATTAATAATAAATATAAATAACACTTAAATACGTTTTTAAAACTATACATTTAGGTGCTGTCTATGTATAGTTAGACAAATAAATAATAACATAAAATATATTATATAAATTTGTTGTTATCAAATAATGGAATATTATATTTTTTGATATAAGAAACCCATCAATCGTATCCCCAAGAATTATGAAAAATATTTAGAGAATATAATATAAATATATATTTTATAATAAATCAAAATTTTTATTGGAATATATTAAACATATGATTGAATAAACGGCTTCAAGATGGCTTTGAAATTAATATCGATGACATTCGCCATATAGTTTTGGACTAACTGGTGTGTATATTTCCTTAAATTAGTTTACTGTATTTAAAATTATTAATGTGTTAGTTAAAGCAAATTTAGAAAAAACAATCTTACCTTATCCTAATAATATATACCTACTACAGAAAGTTAACCATCAATCTTAGACATTTTAAGTTTAATTTGTATTTAAAAATTAATCTTTTAGTAATTTTGGCTTTAACAAATATCATTAGTCAACTCATAAAAATAACGTTATACCTTAAATTCGCAGTAGTTAATATATCGTTAATATATACTGTTATCATATCAGTAAAGAAACACATAACAGCTAAATGCCTTTACTCTGTTCCACTCACCTTGCACTTGCAAGTAGTGCACGGATCTTGCGGGTCTAAAAAGTCCGCACCGGATTGGTACAGGACGCCTTTGAAGGTACAGTTCCTTCCTAGGCCTAGGGAAAAGTTGCCACCCATTAAGCAGAGGTCGCCACAGTGCGGGCAACAGTCGCCGGGTGACTGGATAGGGTTGGAGCAAATGAGTGGGGGACATCGCAGTTCCCAACAGTCGACCTCACCGTAGAAGCATTCGCACGTCTGGCATTGGTACGACCACCTAAAAGCAAATAAGATCAATGAGTTCCTTAAAATACAAAATATTTTTGGAATTTTTAACTTTGAACCAAATATAAACTCATGATCTTTGAAGAAGGGTGGCTGTTAGTGTTGCACAAGACAAGAATGCTTGTCTTGAAAATCAATTTCTTGTCTTGTCTTGAAATTCAAGACAAGAAATTTTCAAAGACTTGTCTTGCAGATTTCTTGAATGGCAAAGTCTTGTCTTGTCTTGCAAGATTATTAGAATTTCTTGCCTTGAAAAATTTGACCTGAAAAATTCTAACAAAAAGGTAATAATACTTCTATATTTTATTTCATAGAAAGCGTCGTATAAAAAAGGTAATAAGGAAAAATGAACAACAACGATGCTAATTTTAGTAAAAAAAATCTTAACGGACCGCAAACGAACTACGTCAACTCGCCCGTTTGACGAAACAGGAGCCATTACCAAATAAAAGCTGAATAAGAATAAGTAAGGTTAAGTTCAATTTATGGGTTTTGGGTTATAATTTCATACCTAACCTTGAGCGTTTATTTTTTAGTTCTAGTTGTTAATTCTTGTTAGTTTATTGGTTATTTATTATTGGTTACCCGTTTGTTACTTTTATTTTTTATTATGAAAGATTGGTTGGAAAAATTTGGACACAGGGTGTACGGAAAGCTCATGCTAGAGTGTACTATTTGCGCTATTTGATACTAATTTTTGTTCGCGGAGCAATTTCGTGCATGAAAAGTAGTACCGAATAGCGCAAATAGCGTGCTCCACGAACCCACCATTAGTTTCCACTACCGTTAGTTTTTTTATAATACCATTATACCAATATAATTTTGTGTATAATACCAATTACCAATATACGGTTTGATGCCTCGACTTTATTTTATTTCATTCTCAACTCTAAAACACTGGATATGATAGAAAAAAAAATGAAAATTGGTCAATATTAATGCCGGGTTTACACAACACTTGCATAAGTCGTAATAATAGTCGTCATAATCACAACGCAATTTTAATGTGCGTTTATAGAATATTTTCATAATCATAATTTTTATATCAGTGAAGTTGGGTAACATAATTAAAGGCTAAGGTCCTGGTAGATGTCAACAGGTTTATAAGAAGTGAATAGTTTAACTTTTATGATTATGACTATGATTGTGATTACGACTATGTAAATGTTGTATAAACCCTGCATAACTTGCGCAAGGACCTAATTATCACTTAAAAAATGTGTCATTTCTAACTTTCAAGAAATCTTGTTGTCTTGAAATCATATTGTCTTGAAATTCAAGACCAGAAATTTTTAAAGTCTTGTCTTGAATTTCTTGCAAGAGTCTCGGTCTTGCAAGACTTTTTCAAGACTCTTGTACAACACTAGTGGCTGCAACGACGTCCCGTAATCCTGCTGTTAAAACTTAACGCTGAGCAAGAGAGACAAGCCAAGATTCCCCACGACATAAGAAAAGCATTGGGTTTACTTCTGAAAGTATTTCCAGAAATGCTTCGCGAAATATTTCACGAAATATTTCCAGAAATATTTCGTGACACATTTCGGGCATAGTGTAGAGGGTGTTTTAAACGCATATTTGATGTATGATATATTTATATCGTAATGATGACGTAATGTTCGACGATCGCTAAAAATTATTAGCGGTATTTTATGAGAAAATAAAATCAAATTGGAACAAAAAAATATACCTTTCGCCATGCATAAAAACTACGTGGTTCAATTCCTGATGGATACAACTGTATCTGGTATCGCACTGCGGACAGCACCTGTCCGACGATGACTTCTTGCAGTCGCATTTCGGTCTCTCGCAAGTGACAACACCCTTGTTGCACGTGCAGCTCAGGCAGGGATCCGTTTTCGATGGAACCGTCATGCCGTGGGCGATTTCCTGTTCCTGGAACATGCAGCTGTAGCGACAATCCATGTTGTCGGCGGGACAGAAGCATTCGAAGCCTCCGTTGGTGTTGAGGCATTGGGCAGATTCGTGGCAGGTGTCTAAGGACTCCTCGCATTCGTCTACATCTGAAAGCAAAATAGTAAATCAATGACGACGATGAATAGAAGAGTTGCTACGACATAAGAAAATTCAGCCTGTTGCTTTTGTAATCTGTCAAATTTGACATTTAACGTCATAAATTGATAAAAAATAGGTCTAAATATCATCATGTTTTGTTAAATCTGTCTACTGAAGTCATCGTGTAAACAATTTCATGATCATTATTAAGCAAAATTTTTAAAACAAAGATGAGTACAAAAAACAAATATCTTATATATAACAAAATATAAAAAAATATCTTATACATATATAACAAATATCTTATATACTCTGCTTTTTTTTCTTAGGTAAGATTTCGATAGACGATGACAGAAGAAAAGCAGATGACGTCCCAGACCAATCTATTTATTTTACCAAAAAAAGTTTTAATATTTTTTAAGTTAACTATGGATGAGTTTAAATATAAATCCGTAATGCGTCGTCTCTTGTTGTTTTTAACCAGTTTTATTGGTTTATTTCAAAAATGACAGATCATATTTCAATTTTATTGGTTTGACGGAACGATGAACGACAAACGGACGCCAATTCGTATGAACTCGCCTTTATATTTTTGAAGCTTGTCAAAGTCTTGCCAAATTATAGGTTATAAATTTGTGTCAACTTATGTCAAATATCTGCGTTTTGGAAGATGATGAATTTTGATTTGTGTTATTACGTGTGTTTTGTGTCTTTTGAAGTTAAGTGGAGGAAAAATCGAGGGAAATTTAACTGTAGACCCAGACCACAGTTTATAGTTAATACTACAGAAAATCTTATACACCAATAAAGTTACTATAGTCTGTAAAACGAATAGCTTTGAATTTGACAGTTCCCGCGGGTTTTTCTAGTGTTAATTTTATTAGGTTAGCAACTTGCGGCCATGCTGGCGCAATGCCGTCTCTAATAGAACAGCCTCGGAGCGAGATTTATGACGTCACGCTAGTTAGATAGGTACTACGGATTAATAAATATGTTGTAGAATACATGAAAAACATAATTATTCCTCGTATTTTTGGTTTTTATTTTAAAAATGGTATAGTTTACATAAAATATATATAATATACAGTTAATAAATACAATATATATACCTATTTATAGTAATAAATATTTTGGCAAATAAACTATGAACCATACAAATGCAGCAAATTTTTTAAAATATACAAATAATGAATAGGTACATAAGATAATTGGTAAAATGTAAAATATATTTTAAATTTTGGGGTTTGAAAATCGATCTTATTTAACAAAAAACATTCACTATCTACTAATAGTGATGTATTATTATTTGCATTCTCTAAATTTATATGTATATTTTGCAAGTATCAATGTTCGAAAAATGATATTTGCAAATAATACAATATCAGAGAAAAAAAAGGAGTCATGGCTACGAAATAAAGTCATTTTATATGTAAAATTATTCTAAAATGTTTGATTTTCTTGGGATTTAGATTCGGGGAAAACGCTAATTAAGTTTTCATTTGGGTTTTCATTATTTTTTTTTGGTTTAAAAAAAACGTTTCGGCTAACATTATAGTCTTCATCAGTGTTGTGTCATATGAAAAAAATAGTGTCGAATATAATCCAAAAAATTACTTAATTAAATTTATTAATCCGTAGTATCTTACTAGCGTGACGTCATAAATCTCGCTCCGAGGCTGTTCTATTAGAGACGGCATTGGTCTGATATTTAGAAATGTCAAAAACTGATGAAATTTTACTTTTGATAATTATGACATTTCGTGTTGATTTTTGCAAGAAGTGGAAGAACTGTCACTTGGTTTATTATTTTCCTTTTCTATTTACCGAAAGTAAAAAGAGTTGCTTATCTGATTCGTTCAGGCACTCAATTTAAAGAATATCTGTAACTTTTTTTACACAGGGATTTTATATTTGCCATGTTGGTAAAAAATAACGGTCAAAATTCAAAGTTATTCATTTTATAGACTATATCAATAAAGTTTGTATACCATCTCGTCTTAGATAAGTGCATCTGGTATATGCTACAAGGATCGTACTTAATATATACTACTACTGGAGTAGCTGTAAAATATCAACATCACACGATAGGTAAATTAAGGGTTTTAGTACTGCAGAAAAATAATGTCAAAAGGTACTGGTTAAAAAAAATTAAGATTAAAGTTAATTAATCAAACTTTAAGGTATAAAATTTGGTAAGTGTTAATATTAATAAAATAGTTTGTTTTATTGATGTTGTTTTATTTCTTCCTGTAGAATATTACAAATTTGTATTTGTACATAAGTTATATTGATGAATATAATAATAAATGCGGGAAGTTTCTTGAAGCTTGAAAGTAAGAAATAGTTCTTTTTTATATTTTTTTGGTGCGCGATGTTTTGTTCTTGTATATTTTGTATTAACACATACCATTTTTTTAATAAAATAACTCGATTAGATTTTTTCAGTTTTATACAATTCTTTTTCACAATATTTTGAAGTAATCACTTATCACTCAAATTTTAAATATATTAATTTCATGCGTTCCAGTTGTACCAGCTTATTTCTTTGTAAAATAAAATAAACTGCTTTGAAATTAAAATGACAGACACATCTATCACTGTCAAGGATCCAAAAGTTTTATGATGAAGCAAGGTTTGACTTTGACATTTAAGAGAAATTAATGTTATTTGTCAAAACAGTTGTTGTTTTTTCAAACGTCACGAAAGTATTAATTTTTGCGACGCGATTGACAATATAAAAAAAATAATTTTAACGCTTAGGCATAAAAGTGAAGCACTTACGTCTAAAGCTTGATTTTCATGCATCCGTTGTCCGACGATACGATGATACGATATTAATTTTATTGGTTGAATTTAAAGGCTTCGATTGGTTAACTGTCTCTAACCAATTGAAGTCTTTAAATTGAACTAATAAAATTAATATCGTATCAACGTATCGTCGGATAACGAATGCATGAAAATCAAGCTTAAGCATAAAAGTATGAAAATATATTATTAAACTGACATAAAGTGGCAAATTCAACGAGCGTAATCATAGTTTCTCGATATATAATTAAATACAAAGTATGACTTTTAAATCTTTTATATTATTTGGAACGTTTGAAATTGTTTAAAAATTTATTTGTGGCGTTGGAAAAAAATAGCATATTATATTCGGAGTAAAAATGACTTTTTGTACCTCGCCTGTATGCCAATCAAACGTACAGCCTAGCCACAAAAAGTGAATTTTTACTCCTAATAAAACAATATACTATTAAATGTTATCTTACAAAGTATGTTCGATCATAAAAGTTTTTGATTTTTTTTATCATAAAACTTTTTGATTTTGCATTACGTACCTATACAAGATGTTCCGAGATTAGTGTCCGACATGGGTCCTTCGTAGCCAGCTTTGCACTGGCAGTAATACCATCCCATCATATTGACGCAAATGGATGAATTTGTGCATCTGTGAGTGTTTGTGGAACATTCGTCCAAGTCTCGTTCACAGGACGTCCCTGTATATCCTCCGGGACATGAGCACTGTCCTGGCTTAACGCAAACTCCACCGTTTAGGCAATCAGGTGAGCAAATAGCTGAAATGAAAAATAGGTAAATAATTGGAACCATTTTAGAGTAATATATTTAGAATACATTTTATTTAAAAATATTGTCTACAGTATGTCCCTGGATTGTCTTTATAAGAGGAAAAACTTTTTTATTATTGACATTTTGAGAAAAATGCATTGTTGCAAAATTTTTGCTTGTTCTAAAATGGTTAATCTCGTTTATACTTTTCCAAATTTCCATACCGTTTTAGAGAAAATTAAAAAAAACATGAAAATATGGCTGAAGTCCTAAAAATGAAAAGGCGTTTCTATGGTAATATCAATTCGATTTCATTCGTTGATAGATGGTTATTATTAATTTTGATTAAAGTCATATTCTATGCTGTTGTTAAAGGATCATATTTTCCGATAACTATCAATTTTGTGCTTCTTGAACGTTTATGACAACAAAAAATATTGCGTTAATTAAAATTCTATTAATAACAATCTATCAAAAAATGAAAACGAATTTATATTACCATAAAAACGCGCTTTGATTTTTAGGACTTAGGAAAAATTCAACCATATTTTTATGTTTTTCTTAATATTCTCTAAAACGGTATGAAAATTTAGAAAATTATAACCGGGATTAACCATTTTAGGACAAGCAAAAATTTGAAAGAATACCTTTTTCTCAAAATGTCAATAATAAGCTTTTCCTCTGGTAAAAACAATCCGGGGACTCACTGTAAATGCTTTTATACAGTAATGTGATAAACAAAATCAATGTGAAACCACTATAAAAAAAATTATATTTGTTTTTTATTTCTTTTATACAGTATGTCTTTACAAAATGACATCTTCATTTTTTCTCGTTCTAAAACGTTTAAATCCCTTATTTACCATTGCAAATTTCCATACCATGACTTTTAGGGAAAAATAAAAATATATAAATTAACCCCTAACGTTGTGCTAATTTCTGTATTTCTTTACGCTTTTCTTCCTTTTTTACGCTTTGTTATACTATCTATATTTTGTACTACACATTGGATTGAATCCATCTATTTTTTTGTAATCTCTAGGATCTCCTAACTATACCTTAAATTAGATGCACCATACGTAGTATATCTGTAACTTACCCATATGTACGCATACAAATTGCGTATTGTAATAATAAATATGTATACACCGTTATTATAATATTAAGTATCCATGATTAAAATTGACTAAAATTTATCCTGTTTAATAAGTTTCTTGAAACTAATTAAACAAACGTGTAAATGTAAGTACTTAATATTTTTATTACATAGATTGTATGCCAGCGCCCTTTAATATTTAACAGAGGTTACACACGTGTCTAAAATAAATCTCTTTAGTGCTTTCCAACATCGTAAAAATGTGAAGGAAACTAGAAATCGTTAAAAATGTATGAATCAATAACAAGATTGAATTGAACATATATAGCACAAACATGCTAGGACGGTTCTGATTCTTGTTTTGCTGATTTTATAGTTTGGTCTGTATACAGGATGCTCACATAAGAAATCTCGGCAGAATATCATACTTTGTCTAAATCAGTTTCAAAATATAGGAATCAAATTTAAAGGCGTCCGTTTTTCTATAAAAGACATGATTTGTAAAAGAAAAATAAAAAAAATAGAAACAACTTTGAGCCTTTTTTCTTTTAAATAAAAAATAAAGTCATTTTTAATCTAAACGACCCCCTGATGTATAGAAATCATAGAATTGCAAATATTACAACTTTTCAATTTTTAAATATGAGAAGAGCTATATTCTGAATAATTTATAAGTAATATTTAGGGTTATTAATAATTACTGTGTATTATTACAACCCCAAAGTTCCCAAATGGCAAAAAAAGTATGACAGGGAGACGCAATATCCCCAAAGTTATTTACAGCAACACAATAAGACATCTTCCGTCAACTAGATTGGGCCAACAAAAAACTAAAAATAGATGGAGAATATAGTAACCATCAAAGATTCGCTGATTACATACTCCTAATAGACAATAGTGATGAAGAACTACAAACACATAACGAACTAAATTCAGCTAGCAATAAAGTAGGTCTCAAAATGAATTTAGCAAAAAACTAAAGTAACGCACAACAAACTGGTAGACAGAAAAAACATTCTAATAAATAACACAAAACTGAAAATAGTAGAAGAATATATATATTTGGGACAATAATACACAGCTCAGGATCTCTGCTACCAGAAATCAACCAAATAATTAAGTTAACATGAAGTACTTATAGAAGAAACTCAATCATATTCAAATCTAGAATGCCACTTTATCTGAAGAAAAAAACATTTGATCAATGTGTGCTACCAGTCATGACCTATGCATACAAAATCAGGACACTTTAAATAGACATTATAAGAAAACTGAAGGTCGCACAACGCTCAATAAAATAAAATATGCTGGAAATAACCAAGGAAGACCGTAAAAAATTGAGTGGATACGACAAAACACCCAGGTAATAGTTGTCATCCACAGAATCAAATCCTTCAAGTGACAATGGTGTAACGTTTTTAGTTCGTTACATGTATTTTTTATATACGATTTATATGATGTCTGGCGTATCGTCATCGGATTCCGTATCGTTCAGGCCTGATAATTTATTTGGCACGCTTGGCGTAATTTTTACGTTCCCTAATCGCCAACCCTGCTATCGTTTCACTGTTCTGTGGAGGCGCGCGCTGTCAACATTGCTTCTGTCAACTCTCCGCGCTTAACCTCACTTTTGCAAATCCCGGCTTTTAGAAATGGTGATAATTTAAATCTTGCTGCAAAATCTGAATCAGCTGCTATTTCGAAGCTACAGGTAAAGATGAGTTATTATCTTTTATAGATTCGATATTATTATTGAATATTTTTAGGGTAGAGTTTTAGATTGACCCACCTTAACTCGTATTTGTATTTTGCTGACACGTTGGTGTACTTTTGCTGTTGTCCTCCAGAATGTTAAATGGAAGAAAGGACAGTTCTTTTGTTTATTATTGAGCCCTCAGAAGTGTTTCTAGGTAGGTTTATTTTGCTTAGTAGATCTTGTTTGATTTTAAACAAGAGTTTCGTATTTTTAGGGTCTTATGGACGGACTGTGTCCAAGGTACGGGTAGTGTTCCCCTGTACCGTTGTCTTATGGACGGACTGTGTCCAGGGTTATGGTCCAAGTTACGGACATTATCCAAGGTCCTAGTAGTGTTCCAAGGTACGGGTAGTGTCCCCATATTGTCACAGTATGGATACAGCGTAACCCCATGCTGCTTCGCTCCCATTTCTAAGCCTGGTCAGTAGCTACGGCTGTATTGATTCATGGTGTCCTTATTCTGGCCCCTTTTGTTGTTTTGGCCAACAGGATCGCCGACAGACAGTACAGAGATATGAGCCTACCTCACGCTGCTACTCTTCGAAACAGGATTGCCTCAAGAACAGCTAAGTGTAGATTTAAGTTCTAGTTTAACATTTAACATTTAAAACATTTTCAGTATTAAACAATAACGTACATTTTAAGTAATATCGTACAGACTATGTTTAGTGGTTAGATTGTTAAGAACATTCATGTCGATTTAATATTTAAAATATGATTTAGATCTTAGGTTTCATTACATTACGTCTTGTAATGGTATTACTTTCATAGATATTTTAGTACAACTCTTAACACCAATTTTTTTGACATATAACCACTATATATTTATTAGAACTCTACAATGTCATGTACCAGCAAAGAACATCATGAATAAATATAGTCATTAGGTTTAAGTAATATACAACTGTGTTTTCTTTCTCTGTACATGCCTGGCGCCCAATATCTATATTCTTTTGTTTATTGTTATTAATTAGTTTTCTTTCCAGTGAAATACCTTATCCACGACTGCTCTCCGATGGAAAGCTACCGTTCGCAGTGGCAATGTTTTAAAAAAAACGCTACAATGCTAAAGACACTCGAAAAAAAGGACGGACAACAGATGGACCACAACAATTACAGCATGGTACCCACGAGGAATTAAGAAATCTAAATATGTGAGGGAGGCTACACCATATTTAGAAATGGATGCTGAAAATGATGATGATGATGAAGATTACCTTATTATGAAAATACATTATTAACATTTATCACACTTATTAAATGAAAAATCTTCATTTATCAAATGAAAAATTATGAACTTTTGAGAGTTCACAGATTCTGATTTTTCACCCTGCATATAAAGTAATATACGAAATTTTGTGAATTGAATGTGTACAATTTAGAATTACAATCATACTAATACATAATACATCATCAAAACTCTGTACATATAAAATGTAAATCATACATTATAAAATTATGAAAAATTAGCTGATCCCAAGATACATAAACCGTTTTCTTATACTATGAGCTGACCCGACTAACTTCGTACTGTTTAACAGTAAAGTCACTAGTATGCCAATCTTGTGGTATGAATGACCGATTAACTGAATGGTCTGGAATGATTGAGACAAATAGATTTGACAGTTATTTGCTATCATTTGTTCCCTATGTTCGTGTTTACATTTGAATTCAAGTATTTTCTATCTATTTCAAAATCTTTCCAGATAATATACTTAAATATACTATTTTCCTACTATTTTCTGTTCTTTAGTATATCACTGTCACTAGTATGCTATTACAAATAAGCTATAACCGTGCGTGCCGTTGGCTGTCAATTGCAGAAGATTCCAAAGAAGTTCCAAACAGCGAACCTAATTTATTTAAAAATTAATTTTCTGTTTAATATATTTTTCCGTGATTTTTCCGACATCTAAATAGTTATTCTGCTTTTATAGTAAGATAGCTAGCAACGTCTAGAAAATAAGTATTTTAAGAAAACTGGTTCTTTGATATATATCTTTTACTATGCTCTCTGGAAAAGCGGGCAGGCCGTCTGGCTGCCGATAGACGTTGCGTTCACTACTGCGCATTGAAAGAAGTTCCTATATTTTTATTTAGTCCTTTAGATACTAGTATTGAATATAAATCGAACAAGTCTCCATAGCGCTGCGCGAAAAGAGTTCGAAGTTCAGTGTTCAATACTAGCTCGGGAAAACCTTTTTTTTTTTTATTTTCATTTATATTCTAATAATAAAGTATTAAATAATTTTGGTAATTATAAAAACAATTATTTAATACATTACTATCAGAATATAAACGAAAATAAAATAAAAAAAGTTTACCCTGAGCCAGTATTGAACTCTGAACTTCTCGCTTTATATGCTGAAGTTTTTCTCGCCGCGCTATGGAGACTTGTTCGATTTATATTTAATACCAGAATTTAACGGACCAAATAAAAAAAAATATATAGGATCTTCTTTCAATGCACAGTAGTGAAGGAAACGTCTATCGCCAGCCAGACAACTTGCACGCTGCTCCAGAGAGCACAGCAAAAGATATATTAAAGAGTCAGCTTTCTTAAAAAACGTTGCGAGCTTTTAGACTATTACATCAGAGATCATTAAAATCGGTCCAGGCGTTCTTGAGTTATAAATGGTGTAGCTAACCCCAGTTTGTCTTATTTAATTAAACTTCTACATAGCATAAAAAATATTATAAAAGTTCATAATAAGCTTATAGATACTCCGTAAATTTAATAATGTATATTAAATACTTACGAGTACATCTGTACCCATCTCCTTGATATCCATTCTTACACTGACATTTGTAGCTACCTTCAGTATTGACACATTCGGCGTTCAGATCACAGTTGTGGCTTCCCGTAGAACACTCGTCCAATTCGGCACAGTTGAACCTGTCTACGCGGATGTACCCGTCTAGACACTGGCACTCGTACGAGCCTTGAGTGTTGACGCAGATAGTGTTTGAGTGGCAATGGTGGCCTTCTCTGCCGCCTTCTTGCTGACATTCATCGATATCTAGATAACAAACAAGTTTAATTTAGATTGTTATTGGAGAAAAATATGATTTATAAAATCTGCCTCTTTTCTTTTATATTTTATTTTTAAAAATGCATTTATAGTGGTTCAAACAAAGGGCAACGGCCCAGCAACGTCGAAATATTGTTTCCCGATAGATCACCGAAGTTAAAGGATGCTAGACGACGCGAGTGGATGGACGGGTGACCGTCTGGTCACTCTGTCGTGCTGTTGTTTCATCGCAAGAGTGTAAATTCTAGTAACACACTGCTCATTTTTGCCGGTTCGAGGATGAGAGTAGGCCAAGTCAGTAGGCTTTCAACTCAGTTTCCTGGCTAAAAATAATCGCTGCGATGAACAAATACAATATCAGCAAACATATAATCAAAATAATAGAATCTTACTTAAGTGATCGCTGGATACGCAGAACGGGAAGAAGTATACCGTTACTGCTGGAGTACCGCAGAGGTCTGTTCTGGGACCAGTACTCTGGTATATCTTCTATAATAAAATATTAGAAACGGAAAGAGGAATATCCCTAATTGCATACGCAGAAGACCTAGCGATTGTAACTAGGGCAAAATCTAGAAGAGAGCTGGAAAACAAAACTTAGCATGTTATGAAATTGATAATGTGGAAATTGGCCGAAATGAAAAAATTATATACCAGAGTCAACAATCAATCAAGTACCTAGGAATGTATTTAGACAAAGACGTACGAGTAATATCACATATTAAAAGAATCTGTAAAAAGGCAAATACGGCAATTACTAAGTTAATTAGACCATGGCAAATATCGAAGGTCCAAGTGCAACAAAGCGAAGGGTACAAACAACAGCTGTACTTTCTTTAATGCTGTACGCGGCACCAGCTTGGAAATCGGAACTGAAGTTTAAATCCTATCGGGATTTATTAGAACAACTTAGCCGTAGAATGACAGTAAGCATCATATCGGCCTACAGTTACAGCTCTTGCATAAATGGCTCCAATATAACTGCTGGTGAAAGAACGGGACCTCATTTATCAACGGGGAAAAGATTATGCTGCGGAGGCTAAGAAGACGACTTACGCACAGTCACAAACAAGATGGAATGAATACAAAGGGTAGGCTATCAAAGACAAAAGATGAAAGAAAATATGGTGAATTTTTATACATCACAGGATATGACTGGTCATGGAGTTTTGAGCTCATATCTGCAAAGAATAAAAACAACAGAACACACCTTGTTTGTATCTCCAAAGTTTAAAGCTTACAGGGTACAAACGGACAACAAAATTGGGAATAAAATTACGAAAGACAATGTAGCAGAAGTCCTCCTAAGAGGCGAGAACGAGTGGAAATGTGTTAGCAGACTAATGACAAATATAATGAAGTATTTACTATCCCTACATTAATAATTCGAAGGAAAAGATAAAAGAGAAAAAGTATAGGCATGGTCAACAAGGGATACTTTGTGAGGTTGATGTAATGCTTAGAGCAGTTCCAACCCAAGAACAGTTAACCTAATAGGACTGCTCATTCAGCCAAAAGTGTCCGCCAGGTGCATGCGAAAACTACTCGCTTTGTGACGTCATTGTAGTCCTTGTCATGGTTATTAGTCCTTATCCGGCAACCAATAATACACACACGTGCATTATTGGTTATCAAATGCAAAACGTTCATTATTTAGTTTATTTATTTAAACACCTTATATGTATGCAGTATAGAAAATTAACTGTATAAATCGTATTAAATACTCGGATAATGCATTTTTAAGAACAGCAGTTCCCAGTGTATCACCTTTTGCAAGCATTCTTTTTAGAGTACTTCCATATTTTGCTTTAAAATAATTAATAAACAAAATCGTGGGCACTTAGTATGCACTTTGTCACAATCCACAACACAAAATGAACGTATTTATACACTCCATAGCTCTAAAAACTTTAAAGACACCTTTTTCACATTTAAAATTGACAAAATAATTAACTCAAAATTTCTCAGCTGTTATTTTTATAAGTTTACCATAGGCAACTAATAATACATCATGACAAGGACTACAATGACGTCACAACTGTCAGCTGAAGCGCGGGAAGAAGCGAACGTACGTCTTATGAGGATGAGCAATCCTATTAGTTTACAGTTCTTGGTTCCAACCAAGTTCAAACCGCACTTGATAAAGAAAACAGGGGAAAGGGTTTTAGTCGGTCGCTACAAGCAAACCCGACACAACCCCCGCCGCTAGAACAACAGGCGGGGACAGTCTGTCAGCAGATTCTCTAAAGCTCTGTATAATAAAAAAAAAGTCGGTAGCCCATTGACAATGATATGGCCGAGGAGCGCGGTTCGGGTTCCGCGTAAACAAAGTATGTCCCATCCGGACTAGCCTTAGCAGCACAAATGAGACGTTAACTTAAAATACTTTTCTTAGTGAAGTAAAAGGTAATATTACCATGGTAATATTACTGGTAATTTTGGTAATATTACGTAATATAACCGCATGATCGGTAACATCGTCGATCGCTCTCCTCCTTTTCATGTGCCCAACTCTAAAAAAAGTTGTTCCACAGCCGCAACCGTAAGAATCTTTAGTACTTATGGTATATTGCCCATAATTATAATTTACCAATTGGAGAAGAATATCCAAGAAAAGGTAAAAACTGCTAAGAAAGAAATTGAAGAAGAGAAGATATCGATTTCGAAGTACCTAATAGAGTTGACTCAATTAACAAAAGAGAAAGTAGAACCAGATGACGAGATTGAGGATGATTTACCATTATCCACTCTTTTACATACTATAAAGCCGGCCCTACACGATGCGTCCAACGGTGGTTCCAATGGTTCCAATGGTTCCAGATTTCGACAATATTGCAATTGACACGTTTAACATAGGCTACTCTGACTCTGACTAGTTTAAAAAATGTCATTTTCTTTTTTTGTAATATTTTTACAGTTATGAACTGTAAAAAATAATATTATTTAAAAAACTGTAAGTTACCAATGTTACTGTAATATTACCTATTTATAAATTACCGGTAATTTTACATCACTGACTTTACTTAATTCAAAGAATTTTGACGTGGTAGTCGTGGTACATGTGGTAATTAATTAACTTATTTTGATTTCCAATAAAAATACATAATACTTAGTTTTATGTCCACGGAATATTGGGACATCCTAAATATGAAAACTTACTAAATTATAACACAGCAATGGCACAATACATAAAAAAGTAGTTAACTAAAAAAATTATCAAATATTGATGATAAAAATAAAAATAAATTATGTAGTATTGACTTTTTCAATGGTAAATGAAAAAGTACACCAATAGTGTATAAAAAATATAGTAAAGAAATAACCGATAACAAATATACATAATAAAGATGTAATGTGGTGATAAAATAAACATGAATTCAAATAGTTTGTATCCATAAGGGAACTTTTTTATTATATATTTTTTATTATTTCATTTATTAATACACACATCAGATAGCTACGAGTATAAGAGCAAATAACTTTATTACAACATTTGTGTTACAAAATTGCAATATAAATTTGCCGTAATTTGGGGTTGATTTGAGGCAGAAATCAGCTTTCATTTTCATTGACAAAACGTGTATCATAATTAGGTTTGTTGTGTATATAAATAAAGCAAACAAAATATAAATTAAAATATCCTTTTCTACAACTATCTCGCTACATTTTAAAAATACTACTTTTATAATTTTTTTTTTCAAAACTAGAAAAAAAATAAATTAAAAATATAAAGTTATATTGTTAAATTCACTTTTTCCTCAATTATTAATACATTAAACATAAATTGTTTTAAAAACGACAAAAACAGAATCAAAAAACCCTGAAAAAATAAAATTTAAGCTACATTTAATAATGATAAATCGAGCTGAAAGTTAATCAATATCTCAAAAAAGATATTATTGGGTCACCTCGCATTAGTACGTACATTAAATTTATAACTGCAAAGAGAAAAGGTTTTTGACTTAAAATTAATCCACTTTTCACTTTGTAATAAACTAAAATAATGTTATAGGTAGTAAGCAAATTACCACAATAAAAATTTACATTTATTTTTTAAATAAATATAAATGTTGTAATAATATAAACAGTAATAAAGTGGAATTGATATAAATAGAGTTTTATCTACAACCGTTTAGTTATAACGTTTTTACATCACTATTTTTTTTAGTATTTCAGTTACGTTATGAGATTCCTAACAGAACTAGTGGTGTTATGAATCTATAACACAACTAGTTTTTATAATAATGACAATTCCCCATGTGACAAATGTCATAGTTAAAGGTGTTAAAAGTGGGCGACTAATAAACGAAAATTAAAACAGCATTTTCTTATTTTTCGGTTGTAGATAAAATGTTGTACATGACACGTGCGTTTAAACATGATTACAACACTCGTGTGATCAGAACAACTCGGTCTACGATCTCGTCGTTCTTATCGTTCACACTCGTTGTTGTAATCATGTTCATAAACACACTTGTACTGTAAACTATTAAACAAATAATCCCATACAAAATAAAAATATCCCAGACGACTTAACGCTCCAAATAGACATATACTGGTTACTGGTAGTATGTGTACCAAGCTCAAAAATTAATAAATGTAAAATTGGTAAAAAATATTATAAATAATAGAGAGATAAAACTATAAATGAAAATAAATAGTTAGTAGGCAACGAATGAAGGAAATGTTATTACCAGAACATAGTTTTCCGTCGCCTCTGAAGCCCTGGTCGCACTGGCAAGCGTAAGTCGTTTGTAAATTGCGGCAGGTGGCGTTAGCGTGACAATAATGTCCCATGGCACAGTAGTCAATACCTGTTAAGTTAGTTAGCGAAGGAAGAGAAAAATGCGTTAGTTAAGCATGTGAGGGTTGTTAATAGATTAATCAAGTTGCATGAAATCATTAATATTAAATAATGTTGCGATGAATCAGGCATACAGGGTGGCGTTTCTCGTACGAGGCTCCAAGGAGAATGACAGTTTGTATTGAAATGATAGTTTTTGACTTATCGTGTTACAGTCGGACAGACAGACAGACAGAGACCATGAAAATATTTTGTATTTAGGTCATTTATGACCCAAATTACTCATAAGTGAAATTAAAAAAACTTTTTTTGCTGATCTTAATAGCCTACCATACCTGTTGGTATGGTCGGCTAATAAAGATCAGTTTCATTAGAGAAGCATATGACTAAATTGTAAAGTTTTAACATATTCTAAAAGTGAAGAATAAATTTTAAATTTCAATAAAAGTTCACTAAATTGAAATTTACCTGGTATAGTCTAATATGTAGTTAATATTATTATATGTTAACGATTGTACTTTAAATCAAATTAAAAGTTAAGAAGGGTAAGACAAAATTAATACTGAACAAAGGTTACTTTAACAGCAAGTTACTCTTTTGTTTTAAACGGAACACCCAGTATATTATTCCAATATTTAATGAGGGAAGAGGGAATTCAAATCTCTTCAAAATACTGTTAAGGTTGCCTACCCCTTAAACAAAGATTTTCCTAGATATTTTCATTTTTATGATTTATGAGTGTAGATCTTTATTATTTGATAAAATCTAGTTGGCTGTGATATGCCTAATGTTACTTCAATATAGCTATCAAATTAGTTCCACTTTTACAACTAAGCTTCTGTGATTTTGTGTTAGTTAAAACAAAAAAAAATCAGAAATTTGACGAAAAGAGAAACATATCCTACAACAGAGATAATTAAATGTGATTCTATTAATTGGTGAAAGCAGTGTGCAATCACCAATTAATCGAATGCTTAATTGTTGAGTTATCTAGTCTGAACTTTTTTATGGGGATATTTTAAAGACAGTGTTTACAAAACACGATCAACTACTGTCGACAACATGAGAGAAAGAAATATAGCGGCTTTTCGAAGTATAAATCCACATATGCCTCTCAATGTGAAAAGATCTTTTGATAAAAGAATCATTTTATGCATTGCAAACAAGAGAGAAAGCATTTTAAGCATTTGATATCATCTAACTATTTTTTTCACATATTTGTACCTTTACATATCTAGTTATAATTCTGAGATAATTAAAATATATTTCAGACGTGTATCTGTTTATTATCATAGAGTATTTTACTATACATCCCTTAATTTTTTAGGTGTTCCATCTAAAATAAAAGAGTAACTTGCTTTTAAATGTGACCAATGTTCAATATTAATTTTATCTCACTCTGTATAACTTTTCGGGTCAAATTTTAATTTGGTTTAACGTAAAATGGTTATTTTAACCAAATATTAGGTTATAGTACAGTGTAAATTACAATTTAGATAACTTTTGCTGAAATTTAAAGTTTATTCTTCATTTTCAAAAAAACGTTAAATACGCCAAAAATCTTAAGTTTTACTCATATGCTTCCTTAATGAAACTCGCCTTTATTTTTTCTAGAAACCGAAAATCAATTAAAATATAGTATGTTCATTACAAAAAAACAAAACTTTGTTACCTAGTTTTTTTGGGGTTACCCTGTAGAACTCTATACATAAAATGATTTCAATTAACCTTGGACATATGTAACAAACAGTGTTTTTAGAACTACACCAGCTACTGTCGACAACATGAGAGAAAGAAGTGTTAAGTTCCCAAAATTTCGTTTCAATACAAACTACTGTTTTCCTTGGAGCCTTCGTATCATATAAAAGGAGCCACTCTATACAGTAAAAAAGGACAACCAATTATTAAAACATGCAAGTACCCCAAATTATTTGAAGTAATCAAGTATGGTAAAAAAGTAGTTAAACAAATTTACATAATTATATAATTGACCATCAGACCCAGACAAATTATGAAAATTGTTTTCTAAATTATAAACGTAAATAAAAATGTTTTTTTTTTTCCTAAAATTATTAAATTATTTAATCGTTTCATCAACTTGTAGATAATTTTTCAACATCAAACAGTCAAAACAAAAAGCCTGATAAACAGTTAATCGTTGTAATTTAATTAAGAAAGTTAATTATAACAAACACAAATGTATTGGGGTATGTACAGACTGTTTGTAATGTCCATTCATCACAATATTACTTAATAAAAGCCGTAGGTAGCAAAATATTAGGGCGTAGGTTTTCCCTGAACTTGACATTATGATTAATATTAGGAGAATGAAGATAAATAAACTGAAATATTAAACGGATTTGTTTTTGTTAATTGGAAGGGGAAAACAGTATTAAGCATGATTATATGAAATAAGCGCAATATTAGTTATGATTATAGAGTGTAGAGGCAAGGAGAAATATCTTCGTGCATTAAAAATGGTCATAAAGAAGGGAAGGCTTAAGATAGCGCTGTTGTAGCAAAAAGTTAAAATTTAAAATAGGCGCCGAAAATTTTTAGAACAGGAAATGATTCAAAAGAGATAAATACTTGACGTGAAGGCGCGGGTTTCAAAAAACATACAAATTTTATTCGTCACATGAAATAAATTATCGACTGTTCTTCGGCAGCAATAGACTAAGCTTCTAATATATAAAAATAATTATTTTATATTCTAAAAAATAAAAACAAAGTTTTTTTTTGTTACTTTTATTCTCTTATCTTTGGTTACTTTTCATTTTTTAGATTTATGCGTCATTAGCGCTACTGTGGTTATTTGGTGAACCCTTATTCTTCCCATTTTTGTAACCACTTTTTCAAATAAAGTCCCATAAGAGATATTTCTTGTCATCTCTACACTCCATAGTTTATTATTTAGTTATGATAAGACATTTACAAAACATTATAGAAAGAACAACAATATTATACGAGAAAAAATCAAAATTTTGGTTCATAAGAAAAAAAACTTTAGTTGAAATAAAACGCTATACAGGGTGGCCCATTAGTGTCAGGAAGTTCAATATCGTCGTTGACGAAGATATGAAACAAGTGTCGATAGTAAATTATAACGCAAAATATCATAAGGTGGCTTTGATCAAAATTAAATGAAAAATGGGGGTTGTAATTTAAAAAAAAAACTTTGGGACACCCTCTATACAATAAAATATTTTTAGGATATGAATTTTTAATCACCGCGATCTTTTGCATACAGGGTGTCCCCAGGCTGAGCGTGCATTAGAGAACCACAATATCTAGATCGGAGATTTTTTTGCACATCATTGTTTTTAAAGAGATCTACTGATTAAAATATTTTCAATATGGCGGCACTTCCGGAAATACCGGAAGTTGACAGCAACTTACCTATTTTAGATGGGTGCCCCCAGTTTTTATTACATACTGAGATTCTCTGTAAAATTCTATGAATATTGTTTAATTTAATACACTCTATATCTAACATTAACCGTTTTTGAGAAAAAAACCTTTAAAATTTTTGGACGAAAAAAACTACCTGTCAAAAAAATTTGTATAGCCTAAAAGTCAAATTTAGTTAATACCACAGCCACTGTGACATAAAGAGAAGACATCTATTTCAAAAATTAAATTAGTAGTTGTCATGGAATTGAGCGATTAGAAAATTATCATAAATGGAAACGCACTTTTTTTATTTCACTAATGAAAAGGTTTTTTAATTCGTTATTTTTTAACTATACATGTTCCTATATCTAAAATAAATCGTTTCTAAGTTACTTAAGATTTAATTTGAAAACGTATATTTTTATTGATTTTATCTAGCCTCCTTTGACATTAAATGTCAAATGGTCAGACAGTTGACAATTTATTTCCATCTGTCAGAAAACATATTATTTGAATTTCCTATATTATAAATACTGTCTGCCTTAAGAGTTTAAAAAGTATATTTATAAAAATATACCTATCTGGTATTTTCGCTCTTTAGTGATATCTAATTGTTTATATTAATTAAATGATGCTGCTTTTTGAACAAAGCGTCACAATATGACATGGCCAGATCTATTGTTTTACATCACTTGACGTTTGAAGTCACAGGCTACTGGTTAAAATCAAGAAAAATATACGCTTTAAAACTAAATCATAAATAACTTAAAAACGATTTATTTTAGATATAGGAATATCATAGTCAAAAAGTAACGAATTGAAAGCCTTTTTCACTAGTGAAATAAAAAAAAGTGGGTTTCCATTTGAAAAATGATTTATGATGGTTTTTTTAATCGCTCAGTTCTGTTATCTGCGGCCATTATTATATGATATTCGAACAATTTAACCTTTGAGATAGATAGCCACATGATTTTCTCTTCATGGCACCGTGGCTGTGGTAATCACTAAATTTAACGTTTAGGATATACACATAGTTTTTGACAGGCAGTTTTCGTTCAAAATTTTAAATATTTTCGATCAAAAAACGACCAACGATATAAAGTGTTTAATATCAAAATTCATAAAATTCTACAGAGAATATAAGTATGTAATAAAAAAAATGCTTTTAAAATAAGGAAGTTGCTGTCAACTTCCCTGTATTTTCGGAAGTGCCGTCATATTGAAAATATTTTTAATCGATAGATCTCGTTGTGAAACTATAATGTGCAAAAAATCTCCAAGCTAGATGTTGTAGTTCTATAGAAACTTCTAATGCACGCTCAGCCTGGGACACCCTGTATATAACATAACATAACATAACAACAACGATATTCGACTTCTTCACGCTAATGGGGTACCCTGTATATGATTAGAGGGTTTTTAAAATCTTATGTTATACAATTTATTGTTATACAATACCCAAAATATAAACAATATCCATATGACTAACCTTGGCATATTTTACAGCAACTCCCAGACACGGACAGCTGTTGTTCGACAGGACAGCTCAAAACGGGACAGTCTTTCGGGTCCAAAACTTTGCAGTCCATCGACCCATCTATACACGTACAGTCTTTA